GGATTATTTGGATTTCCTATATTCTAGTAAAGGGAACCTTTCTCGCATATTTGAGGTGTGCAACGCATTTTACCATGCAGAAAAACAAGATAAGTCCCTTACGACTTATTTTATGGAATTTAAGAAGATTTATGAGGAGTTTAATATGTTTACTGCCTTTCAGCCTTGATGTAAAAGTTCAGCAACGCCAACGAGAACAAATGACTGTCATGAGTTTTCTTGCTGGCCTTTCCTTTGACTTTAAGACTTCTAAGTCACGGGTTCTTTCTGGTTTTGAGATCTCCTCTTTACAAGAGGTTAGTCGGGTACTCCACCTTCCCAAATTAGTAGTGTTTTGGTCAGTCGAAATAATCATTGTAAGCCAAGGAGATCAACCAATCAGAGTGGAAACAAAGGAGGGAGCTCGCAAAGGTTTGAAGCTCGAACACAAGATTCTGGAGGACTTGTGTGTCATTACTGTCACAAGCCAGGCCATATGAAGCGTGATTGTCGAAAGCTTCAATACAAGAATCAGAAAGCTCACTCGGCCCATGTTGCATCCACTAATGAAACTTTTGCAACATCAATTCTTATCTCTGTAGATGAATTTGCCAAGTTCTCACAGTATAAAGAATCACTAAAGTCTTCATCACCTTCTGTCACTGCTATTGTTGATTCAGGTAACCCAAATGCGTATCTTATTTCCTCGTCCTCCAAATGGGTCATTGATTCTGGTGCCACAAATCATATGACGACATGTAATTCTGGTCTATTTTCTACTTTTAAGTCGCACGCTTTCACTTCTACCATTACTTTAGCAGAGAGAAAGAACAGACACCTTCTTAAACTGCACGAGCCCTATTATTTCAAATGAATGTTTCTAAACCTTTTGGGCCGATGCCCTTTTTACAGCATGTTTTCAATCGAATGTCATCATCTGTTTTTCATGGTAAAATCCCTTACAAAGTCCTTTTTCCCACCCTTGGTTATTCTCGTCTTCAGAAAGATTATCGATGTTATTGTCCTAGTATTAACAAGCATCATGTCTCTGTTGATGTTGCCTTCATGGAAGATACACCCTATTTTCCATCTCCTCCTTCCGCACTTCAGGGGGAAGATGATGATTTGTTAGTCTATACTATCATTAGAGGAGGTGTATATGGAGCAGCCTCCTGGTTTTGTTGCTCAGGGGGAGTTTAGGCGAGTTTGTTGTCTTCGAAAGTCTCTGTATGGTTTGAAACAGAGT